TTAACCCTAATTGAAGTTTTGTTATCCCTTATCATTGTTGACCTACCCTTAATTGTAGTCATTGATTCACGTTATCCCCTTTATTGTTGAATTGTACTTATGTAGAGTCATTGCTACACAATATCTCTTCCTTGTTGAGCTATTGCTATGTTGTACCATTATTTCCTGTTGTGTCTTTCCTTGTGAGCTCATTCTTTTCGTTTCTTGTGTTCTGGTGTTCCTAAGTTGATTTACTTGACATATTCTTGTGTTATTGTCGTTGTTGCTGGTGTATTTAGTGTTATGTTTGCACGAGGTTTCTGTCGTGCTGTTATTATTGTGGCACGAGGTTTCTACCGTGCGGCTGTTATTGTGGCACGAGGTTTATGCCGTGCGATTGTTATTATGGCACGAGATTTCTGATGTGCATTTTTTATTGTGGCACGAGGTTTCTGTCGTGCGGCCGTTATTATTGCATGAGGTTTCTACCGTGCGGTTGTCATTATTTATACGAGGTTTCTGCCATGCCGTTGTGATTCATTTTACGATTTGAGACTACGATACGGTACTTCGGGAGGGCTCTGTTGTCATTTCCCCTTTTCTGTGCACTTGTCTTTGATTGTTGTATTCCTTAGCATACTGCTAATTGCATTCCTCCGTGTTGCTCTATTTTCTCAGTTCTATGTAGATAATCTTATTGTGCTTGTCGTTACGTCCACTTCATTGATGTCTTATTTACACTGTATATTTCGTGGTGATCATTTCTTATGTGCCATTCCTTATCTCTATTCTTAGTTGTGGGCTTGAATTGTGGTAGAACACTTGCACAAGCATAAACGTAGATGAATCACCCATATCGGTTTAAGGAGATGAGTCGTGATGTTATTGACCATTACATGTACTCTTGTCTACTTGCCTTCTGTGTGAGAGTTGTCCTCTTGGCACGTGAGTCGTCCGTGCGGTCATGGATTGAAATGTAGGCACAAGGTGCCAAGTGATTAGGGTTCAAGAATTGGGACCCGTGAGTTGTGATTATGAGGTTCGGTACCTCGTGAAAATGCTTGAACAAATCTGATGTGAAAGCGGTTGTTCTTATTAAGTTGTTGTTGGTTTTCTTTTATTTGGTTTCACTGACTTAGACTGTGTTCAGTTTATTCTACAACATTATTACCTGACTGCTTCCTATTAAATATTGTTGCTATTAATGTACCATTGAAAGTATTAATCTGTATTCCTTATCATGCTTAGCTTTATACTAATATTGTTTCCTCTATTAGTTCACCTTCACACTTGTTCAGGTTACTTAGTCCAGTAGGTGTCTTGACTGCCCCTCGTCACTACTTCACCGAGGTTAGTCTTGATACTTACTGGGTACCGCTGTGGTATACTCATATTACGCTTCTGCATATATTTTTTTGCAGATCCAGGTGCCACGGTTGTTGTTGATTATTAGCTGGCTGGTCGAGCTGTGGAGACTCAAGGTAAACCTGTCGTCGCGTTCGCAGTCCTCGAAATCACCTTCTGATTTCTTTTTTTTT